TGAGGCCAAATTTTCCCCCCCAAAAAAAAAAAAAAAAAAAAAAAAAAAAAAAAAAAAAAAAAACTCGCCGAAGGTCGAATTTCACGAAAGTCGAGGCTGCCAAAACTCAAGGGTCCACTGTATTACAGAAATAGATATGATTTTGATTGCTTTCACAACAAAAAGTACCTTGAAATTGAGCTCAACACAGGAGAAATGTTTGATTGTTTTGGCTATGTTCAAGAATAAACAAATGACGTCACTGTCCATTCCAATATGGAGTCGTGAATGGGTTGACATTATTTATACAATTATTGAAATATGACATAACAGTAAATCTTATATTTTTTGTGTGAATAAAAATTACTATTTATATTGTAATAATAATAATAATAATAATAATAATAATAATAATAATAATAATAAGTATAATAATACACAATAATAATAATAATAATATAATACAATACGTAATAATAATATAATACAATACTAATAATATAATACGTATAATAATAATACATATATAATTATGGAGGAATAAGTTTACCGAGTATACCAGGAAAAGTGTACGGTAGGGTCATAATTGAAAGAATTAGAGGTAAGACAGAATGTAGGATTGCAGATGAGCAAGGAGGTTTTAGAGTGGGTAGGGGATGTGTAGATCAAGTGTTTACATTGAAGCATACATGTGAACAGTATTTAGATAAAGGTAGGGAAGTTTTTATTGCATTTATGGATTTAGAAAAAGCATATGATCGAGTGGATAGAGGAGCAATGTGGCAGATGTTGCAAGTATATGGAATAGGTGGTAAGTTATTAAATGTTGTAAAGGAGTTTTTATGAGGATAGTGAGGCTCAGGTTAGGGTGTGTAGAAGAGAGGGAGACTACTTCCTGGTAAAAGTAGGTCTTAGACAGGGATGTGTAATGTCACCATGGTTGTTTAATATATTTATAGATGGGGTTGTAAAGGAAGTAAATGTTAGGGTGTTCGGGAGAGGGGTGGGATTAAATTTTGGGGAATCAAATTCAAAATGGGAATTGACACAGTTACATTTTGCTGATGATACTGTGCTTATGGGAGATTCTAAAGAAAAATTGCGAAGGTTAGTGGATGAGTTTGGGAATGTGTGTAAAGGTAGAAAATTGAAAGTGAACATAGAAAAGAGTAAGGTGATGAGGGTATCAAATGATTTAGATAAAGAAAAACTGGATATCAAATTGGGGAGGAGGAGTATGGAAGAAGTGAATGTTTTCCGATACTTGGGAGTTGACGTGTCAGCGGATGGATTTATGAAGGATGAGGTTAATCATAGAATTGATGAGGGAAAAAAGGCGAGTGGTGTGTTGAGGTATATGTGGAGTCAAAAAACGTATGAATGTATGAAAGTATAGTAGTACCAACACTCTTATATGGGTGTGAAGTTTGGGTGGTAAATGCAGCAGCGAGAAGATGGTTGGAGGCAGTGGAGATGTCCTGTTTAAGGGCAATGTGTGGTGTAAATATTATGCAGAAAATTCGGAGTGTGGAAATTAGGAAAAGGTGTGGAGTTAATAAAAGTATTAGTCAGAGGGCAGAAGAGGGGTTGTTGAGGTGGTTTTGGTCATTTAGAGAGAATGGATCAAAGCAGAATGACATGGAAAGCATATAAATCTATAGGGAAAGGAAGGCGAGGTAGGGGTCGTCCTTGAAAGGGTTGGAGAGAGGGGGTAAAGAAGGTTTTGTGGGCAAGGGGCTTGGACTTCAAGAAAGCGTGCGTGAGCGTGTTAGATAGGAGTGAATGGAGACGAATGGTACTTGGGACCTGACGATCTATTGGAGTGTGAGCAGGGTAATATTAAGTGAAGGGATTCAGGGAAACCGGTTATTTTCATTTAGTCGAACTTGAGTCCTGGAAATGGGAAGTACAATGCCTGCACTTTAAAGGAGGGCTTTGGGATATTGGCAGTTTGGAGGGATATGTTGTGTATCTTTATATGTGTATGCTTCTAAGCTGTGTATTCTGAGCACCTCTGCAAAAACAGTGATAATGTGCGAGTGTGGTGAAAGTGTTGAATGAGGTTGAAAGTATTTTCTTTTTGGGGATTTTCTTTCTTTTTTGGGTCACCCTGCCTCGGTGGGAGACAGCCGACTTGTTGAAAAAAAAAAAAATTCTAGCGGCTTAAATCAAGCGGAAGAAAGCTGGTAGGCCACCATGTGAGAGAATGGGTCTGTGTGGTCAGTGTGCACCACATAAAAAAAAATCCTGCAGCACACAGTGCGTAATGAGAAAAAAAACTGATCGTGTTTTTGGATTAAAACGCCGACTTTGAGGTGTATTTTCGTATAGTATTTATCGACGTATTTGCGTTTTCATGGTCTTAGGTGATAAAATGGAAAACATATTACAGAAATAGAGATGATTTTCATTACTTTGAAGATGAAAACGTCCTTGAAACTGAGCTCAAAGTAGCAGAAATGTTCGATTTTTACCAATGTTCAGGAGTAAACAAATCACACCACATGTCCAATACACGTCAACTGGGGAGTCTAATATTCTTTCACTAGTGCACTGATATTATTTATACCATTTTTACAATAATGCAGTAGTCTGCATAACAGTAAATTTTGTATTTTTTTGTATGAATAAAAAATCAAAATAGAAAGCAATAATAATATAAGAGGGGCCTAGAGATGTGACTAATGTACAGAGGATATGTTATTTTAGTGCCAAGAATGTCTACCTCGTTTATTCTGGACCCTATTTTGAAATTGGCATCTTTTTTTAGTTTGCATGAAATTGGCCAAATTGCCAATTTCTGACCACAATATTGGGTAGTCCAAATTGGCAAATGGGAGGTTTCTTGTACTCAGCTGATAGATAAAATGGCGTTCTAAAGAAATAGCTATGAGTTTAGTCAACTGGCACAAAGGAATTGGCTGAAAATAGGGCTCAAATTCGGCGAAATCGCCGATATGCATATGTCGCCGAGACCACTAACTTTGCAGGAGCGTAATTCCATGAGTTTTCGACCAAATTTCGAACTTTTGGTGTCATTACCATCGGGAAAAGATTCTCTATCATTTCATAAGAAAAAATATTTTTTTTTTTTTTAATTTAGCGACATAGAATGAGTTTCAGAAAGGGGCCTGAAACAGTCAAAGGGTTAAAGAGTTTTTATGAGGATAGCGAGGCTCAGGTTAGGGTGTGTAGAAGAGAGAGGGACTACTTCCTGGTAAAAGTAGGTCTTAGACAGGGATGTGTACTGTCACCATGGTTGTTTAATATATTTATAGATGGGGTTGTAAAAGAAGTAAATGTTAGGGTGTTCGGGAGAGGGGTGGGATTAAATTATGGGGAATTAAATACAAAATAGGAAGTGACACAGTTACTTTTTGCTGACAATACTGTGTTTATGGGAGATTCTTAAGAAAAATTGCAAAGGTTAGTGGATGAACTTGGGTGTGTGTGTGTAAAGGTAGAAATTTGAAAGTGGACAGAGAAAAGAGTAAGGTGATGAGAGTATCAAATTATTTAGATAAAGAAAAGTTGGATATCAAATTGGGGAGGAGTATGGAAGAAGTGAATGTTTTCAGATATTTGGGAGTTGACGTGTCAGCGGATGGATTTATGAAGGATGAGGTTAATCATAGAATTGACAAAGGAAAAAAGGCGAGTGGTGCGTTGAGGTATATGTGGAGGCAAAAAACATTATCTATGGAGGCAAAGAAGAGAATGTATGAAAGTATAGTAGTACCAACACTCTTACATGGGTGTGAAGCTTAGGTTGTAAATGCTGCAGCGAGGAGGCGGTTGGAGGCAGTGGAGATGTCCTGTCTAAGGGCAATGTGTGGTGTAAATATTATGCAGAAAATTCGGAGTGTGGAAATTAGGAGAAGGTGTGGAGTTAATAAAAGTATTAATCAGAGGGCTGAAGAGGGTTTGTTGAGGTGGTTTGGTCATTTAGAGAGAATGGATCAAAGTAGAATGACATGGAGAGTGTATAAATCTGTAGGAGAAGGAAGGCTGGGTAGGGGTCGTCCTTGAAAAGGTTGGAAGGAGAGGGTAAAGGAGGTGTTGTGGGCGAGGGGCTTGGACTTCCAGCAAGCGTGCGTGAGTGTGTTCGATAAGAGTGAATGGAGACGAATGGTATTTGGGACCTGATGAGCTGTTGGAGTGTGAGCAGGGTAATATTTAGTGAAGGGATTCAGGGAAACCATTTATTTTATATAACCTGACTTGAGTCCTGGAAATGGGTAGTACAATGCCTGCACTCTAAAGGAGGGGCTTGCGATATTGGCAGTTTGGAGGGATACAGTGGACCCCCGTTTATGATCAGCTCCCAATGCGACCAATTATGTAAGTATTTATGTAAGTGTGTTTGTATGTGTATGTTTGGGGGTCTGAAATGGACTAATCTAATTCACAATATTCCTTATGGGAACAAATTCGGTCAGTAGTGGCACTTGAACATACTTCTGGAATGAAATATCGTAAACCGGGGGTCCACTGTATATTGTGTATTTTTATATGTATATATACTTCTGAACTGTTGTATTCTGGGCACCTCTGCAAAAACAGTGATTATGTGTGAGTGAGGTGAAAGTGTTGAATGAGGATGAAAGTATTTTCTTTTTGGGGATTTTCTTTCTTTTTGGGTCACCCTGCCTCGGTGGGAGACAGCCGACTTGTTGAAAAAAAAAAATATAAAACATAAAATAACTTTAATATGCTCGAAATTTTGTAAAGTTTCCAGACAAATTGGAGAGAAACTGTGCTCACAGAAAATGTAAACAAACCGGGTGGGGCGCGGTGGCCATATTAGAAAGTTAGGTGGGGAGAGCCGTATAGAGAGTTTTGGTCATAATTTGAAATGTCCGTATTAGTGGAACGCCATGAAGTGGGGCCATACTGTACATGTCTAATGCAAGAATTAAAAATTGCACATACATTATGTACTGCAATTTTTCATGCACAGCAAAAAACAGAATTCAGAATGATAAGGGACTGCAAGCAAATACACTGATGATAACACTTACCATAATGTGTGTTGTTATTAGTGTGTAACCTAGGCAGTGGCAGATCCACACCCAAAAAGAGAGATTCAGTCCTGACTGGTAGACCTCGCTGAGCAGCCGCCACGAGCTTCAAGGCCACAAACAGCTCCCTTCGTCCGTACCAGCCCTGGCTAGCTCCTCCACACACATGCCCAATCTGAAGTAAACAATTCCATGGTTAAAAAGTAGTGTGGATATTTTATCATGGCTTGAACATTATGCCATAATTACCAACAAATTTATACTGTACAGGTATACTGTATGGTAAGTAGTACATGTGTACACTGCACATGAAGAAAATTACGAAAAGAATTTGCAAGATTACAAAGATCTATTAGTCATGAGGCATTTCAAGGCTTTTGGAAATGTAAAGGTTATTTTCAAGTACATGTATACACATTAATTATTTGTAAGGCAAAAATTATAGTACAAAACTAACAACATTCATATGAACAACTATGGAACAAAAATAAACATGTACTGTCACACATTGTTCAAATATATAACTGGCATCAATCAGAAAAATTACTGAATTCTTAATGTCAAAGGACAGCACTAATATTTCCCCCCAATAATTACCAGGTACCCTAATAAATATATTCAGAGAAAGGAACTAAGTGTGAGAAGTGAAGCATTGAAGAAGAGCTCTGTACATGACCAAGTGTAAATACTGTACAGCAAAATTTTTGTGGGTGTGCTGGGGAAAGGGTGTCCTGGCTCACAAGATTAATGTTTGAGAATGAGCCCAAGAGCTAAAGTGTCATTCCAACATAACTAAATAAGAATGCATACCAACACAGCACGAGTTTAAAGAATGTCTAAGTTTCAAAGTCAAAGGCAGACTGCAATAGTAGCATGGACCAAAAGAAGGACCTCTGTGGATGAGGATATCTCAAAGTTACCTGAAAACAGTTTTGGGATCATCATCCCTGCAGCCCAGACCAGGTCTCCTGATTGACAGCTTGATCAATCAGGCTGTTGATGCATGCAGCACACAGATTAGCTTTTTTTTCAAGAGCTTGTAAACTTTCCTCTCAAAGGCAGAGGACTACGACATACCTATGACCAGTTTCAAGGATTTTTCTACACTTACAGCCTAACCAGAGGCCTGGCAGCCATGTTAGCTGCTTGCTCAACTAGGATGTTTCTATTAGTAGCCTGTTATCCCACACAGCCAGGTCTGGTGCATGGCAGAGGTAGTGATCCAGTTTCTAAATGAAGACTACAACATTTGTTCCAGCAATATTTGATATCTGCTGGTAACAGGTTTAATAGTCATAAACCACAGATTTTGACATTTTTCTTATTATGCCCATGGCTTCCCTTTTTTTTTTTCACCAGAACATTACTCCTATTAGTTTAATTGGCCACATAAGCATTTTGAAAACACTGCTGGAGTGCCAACAGATGCAAGTCATCACTGTGGTGTGGCAGAGGATGCATCATGATCAACAATGAGTTCTGGTTCTGTGACCATAGAGTTTCTTCCACTAGTTTATTGATGACTGGCTGAGCCCTGGAAGGAAAATACAACAATGCCATTAATGTTCTAAAGGTGGTCCCTGGAAAGTACAGTATCAAAATATATTAAGTCAAATTTCATCTCTCCAGCCCACCACAGAACCCAACAAGGGTAGGCTCTAAACTCCAGAGAGTGATGGAGAACAGTACATTAAGTATTAAAAAGATCTTGCAGCACCCACACAAGTGAAAGGATGCGTGACGTCTAAAGCCTCGGCAATAAAGACCAGCCGATGGATTCAAGGGGGAGGAGGGTCAACACAATCTCCTATTTCACCTGTATTCTCTCACCATAAAGGTGTGTTGCCCACCAAAGAGCTGCAGCTCCAGGGGCAGGCCCCACTCTCGTTTTAGGGCAGACGGGGAGCTACAGGTTTCCAATCACAGTAATCACATAGAAGCAGTTTTTGTCTGTCTTCTTAGCAATGGCCATCTTCAGTATGAGAAAACCTAGCCAACAGAGATCACTGAATTAATGAACACAAAGCTCTCTAACAGAGACCACTGAAATAAATGATGTTGAAGCTCCTCTGTCCCCTCTCTCAACACAATGAAATGGTTGATGTCCATGGGAGGCTAGTATTACAAATAACTCATTCTTGCACTACCAGTTATACTCATGTGGGTTTGAATGTTTCCTGATCGAGTTCAGCCACAAGAAATACAGACAATACAGTACTTAGTTAATGCGTAAGCTTCAAAAATTACCTTTTTCTATTTTAACATATTTAATGCTAACAGAAAAATGAAAAAGTATATGATAAAGAATTTAAATGGCTCATAACAGTAAGTGTTCATTTTCTCTGACCTTGAAGTACTGATACACTCTCACAAACTTCACATTAATGGACATGCCTTCTGAGCCAAAACACAAGTTTTACTGTCTCACTGCTTCATATTATAGCATATTCACTTGGAATATACATAATTAACCAAAACTCGATAAGTATAATTGCATTCAGTTTACTTTAAAGCTTCATTTCAATTAGGCACCAACACTTGTATGTTTGTTTAAAAAATTCAAATTTAAACTGGGTAGTGTATCCCCCCCCCATGAGGGCTATTTTTGGAACTGCTCTGACACCTTTTCTATACTGATGGGTTTCCAGAGTTTTCCTGCTCCTGCAGCCTAGCTCTGGGCCAGACATGTCTAGGTGTCTCTTCATTCCTATACTATAAAGTTGAAAACCTTATATAAAACTACACTCAATGACACTTTTTCTAACACAAGTAAAGTCCTACACAGTCTTGCATTAAAAAGCTATTCAAGAGATTATTTGCAACTGTGTCCCACCATCTGGTTTAGGTGATATCTCGAGTCCCAGAGATGGGAAGTATAGTGACTGCACTCTGAAGGAGGGGTGTTAATGCTGCATTTTGATAACTGTAGTGTGAGCACGCCTCTGGAAAGACAGTGACAGAGTGAATGATGACATTGAAAGTTTCTTTTTCTGGCCACCCTGCCTTTGTAGGAAATTGCAAATGTTGCAATAAAAAAAAAAAAAACTCTTCACAGTGGCATGCCTAAGTCTTAGATAAACATGCTCACCTGAGCATTCACTCCGTGGATAAAACTTCATTTAAAAGATGCACAAATTCCCAGAGGTGTTACGTAAATTACCTAAGTGATTTTATATTACGCAAAATTTAGCAAGGTTCAGTTACTAGGTTAATATGAATGCAAAATTATAACTGATAAAAAATATTCCATAACCTTAATTGCTTTCTTTAAGGGGAGGGAAGGTGGGAAGGGAAATCTTTAGATAAAAAAATTAGTTCAAGACAGTGTTAGAAGCAACATCAACGGATAGCTGCCTCGGGAATGCAACCTTAACTTCATATCCTCTTTTAGTTTACTTTATTCCTTTTCTATGACTACTACTTCTGACTTCTCTTAACCCTTAAACGTTCACGTGCGTAACGCTCCGACCTTGATTTTTTCCATTTGAAAGCATGTAAAAAAAAACGTAGCTCTACGTTCAGAGCCCCCCCCCCCCCGCACACGGATGCAGATCTACTTTTGGACGGTTTAAGGGTTAATATATTGTTCATATAATAAGGTGACCTCTTGCCTCTTGATTCGCCAGTAAATGCCTCTTATTTCTTCCCAAGAGATGTTTGAGCCTACTGTTTACCAATTTAAGGTTATTCATATTTGATCTAAATTCTCTATTAGGAATATATGCAGCCTGGCCAGCTTGCACAATGCTTCATAAGTTGTCATATTAGTAACCATCACCTATCCCATCTCCCTCACAATATTCCCTCATCAAGTTACCCTGGTGTACATTTCATGAAATCCCTTGTCTCTACAATCTGCAACATGAGTATTGGGGACCTTAACTTGGCTATCGTCATTAACCCTTCTCACTGTGTCATGTAAAGCTATGTCATTGAGGCCAGGGCCCCTGATGTAGTTCTAAGTCATGTGATCAGCTCAGTCAGATAAGCAGTGAGCAGTAAATTTTGGCCTGGATACGAGATAATGGGTCTGTGCAGCAAGTGTGCACATTAAAGAAAATCCTGTCCCACGCGGTGCATAATGGAAAAAAAAAAATGACCGTGTGCATGGTTTATTTTTTTTTTTTGGGGGGGGGAGCGTTAATATTTTTATTGGCTGTTTTTGGTATCCTTTATAAAAAATGGAAGAATAGTACAAAAGAGAGATGATTTTTTTGGTTTTGTGGAAAAATACGGTAATTTTTTCCCAGAAATCAGTAGTTATATGAAATAGAGGGCCCCATAGTGTTTTTAAATAATAACATGAAAAAAAACCCCCTCGCAAAAGGCAGTCGCCATTGTTTGTTTAAAATTAGAGTAACAGACATTAGTAAAAAAGAATTTTTCGTGCTCTAGAGGTTAAAATTTGGGGGCTGCACCTCTCAAATAGGAGGCGAAATTGTTGGATGGCTTCCTGCATTTTTTGAGAAACAGGCGACAGGACAGGAAACTCCAGCAACCTCAGATAAGCTGTTAATTTATTTTTTTAAATTTGGCCAGTAAATTTTTATAAATTAGGCAAAAGGGGGGGTCCTGTACTGAGCATCAATCTCCAGTCAAATTGGTGAGTGTTTTTAAGATTTCTCCCCCTGTTATATAATGTGTATTAATTCTTTTTTTAATTAATATAGTCCACAAATTTATAATTTACCAGCTTTCCCGGGGGATGTATTTTTCTTTTGAATTAAAGAAAAGAAAAGAACTCAGACCAATAGCACAATCCCATATCAAAAAAAATCTTTAAAAGGGTCCTAAGAAGCAAGATCACCACGCATCTAGAAACCCTCGTTACACAACCCAGGGAAACTTGGGTTTAGAAAAAGGTCCCCTGTCTGTCTAAATTTTTGGACCACTACGACAAGGCCCTAAATGCACTAAAGACAAAAGAATGCGATGTAATATTACAGATTTTGAAAAACCCTTTTCCAAGTGGACCAGGCGTATGCGCACAAAAGCGTGAAAAGGAATAACAGGGAAAAATCGGTCAGGATCTTTAAAATTTCCCCCCTAACAGAACACAGAGAGTGTCGTAAAAGAGTAAAGTCCGAGGCGCTACGGGGAAAAAGCTCGTTCCCCAAGGCAAACGCTCCCTCTTTTTTCCTCACCTTTATCCGACTAGACAAAGGAAGTCAGCCA